GAGGGGACACATGTTGATGAAGAAGAGACATGAAGAAGAGGGGACACATGTTGATGTAGAAGAGACATGAAGAAGAGGGGACACATGTTGATGTAGAAGAGACATGAAGAAGAGGGGACACATGTTGATGTAGAAGAGACATGAAGAAGAGGGGACACATGTTGATGTAGAAGAGACATGAGGAAGAGGGGACACATGTTGATGTAGAAGAGACATGAGGAAGAGGGGACACATGTTGATGTAGAAGAGACATGAAGAAGAGGGGACACATGTTGATGTAGAAGAGACATGAAGAAGAGGGGACACATGTTGATGTAGAAGAGACATGGAGAAGAGGGGACACATGTTGATGTAGAAGAGACATGAAGAAGAGGGGACACATGTTGATGAAGAAGAGACATGAAGAAGAGGGGACACATGTTGATGTAGAAGAGACATGAGGAAGAGGGGACACATGTTGATGTAGAAGAGACATGAAGAAGAGGGGACACATGTTGATGAAGAAGAGACATGAAGAAGAGGGGACACATGTTGATGTAGAAGAGACATGGAGAAGAGGGGACACATGTTGATGTAGAAGAGACATGAAGAAGAGGGGACACATGTTGATGTAGAAGAGACATGAAGAAGAGGGGACACATGTTGATGTAGAAGAGACATGAAGAAGAGGGGACACATGTTGATGTAGAAGAGACATGAAGAAGAGGGGACACATGTTGATGTAGAAGAGACATGAAGAAGTGGATTTATAAGAACCCGGAGACCCCCTCTATCCCTTCATTTAATCAGCCGCACAATCACACAGCGTTTTATCACAGCTTCACAGAAGTCATCACTAGTGCTTCTTCACATCCCCACACACACATTTGGGCAAATTTGCAACACATTAAGTGTGAGGAAGAAAGAAACAAGAGGGAGGAAGAGGAGAGGAACTCTTGAAAATAAGGAGTTTAATCACTTAAAAATGTAATTTATATGTCATCTTTTCATAAAAATAGATAAAAAAATAGGTCTCTTTAAAATAAGGGATCGACATAAACCGAAGAGATCTTAGAGAGGACGAGGAAAGAAGGAGGTGCGTCTGAGTGCATAGGGAGGAGGGTTTAAAGAGATGAGGGTAGGAAAGCAGTGGGTGAATAAAGAGGGGGGGAGTGGGGGGGGGGGGGGAGATGCAGCAGCAGCAGCAGCAGATAGATGTGTGTTAGATGTGCGAAATTCTGAGAAAAGTCTTTAAGGCCAGAATAATGAAAAAGTCATGCAATTCTGAGAAAAAGTCAAAAAAGCAAAACAAAAGTTGGAAAAGTCAGATTTCTGAAGAAAAGTCACTTAGGACAGTGAAAAAAGTCAGCATTCTGAGAAAAAGTCAGAAATATGATAAATAAGATTAACTTTCTCATGAATTTGAAAAGAAAGTCAGAAAAATCTGAATTATGAAAATAAATAGTCAGAATTCACGGGGCGGAGATGCAGCAGCAGACAGATGTTATCGGGTCGTTCTGATTGCTCCGGGTTGATGCTGGCTTCCCCCTGCAGCCATAACACCCTGCTGCAGCGGCGCCACGCACGCACGCACGCACGCACGCACGCACGCACACACACACACACACACACACACACACACACACACACACACAGTTTTCCATTTATATTTAAAATTACGCATAATTCTTCCAACCATTTTCCTGATGGCTAACCTACAAGATTCATCATATTTAAGGTGTGTGTGTGTGTGTGTGTGTGTGTGTGTGTGTGTGTGTGTGTGTGTGTGTGTGTGTGTGTGTGTGTGTGTGTGTGTGTGTGTGTGTGTGTGTGTGTGTGTGTGTGTGTGTGTGTGTGTGTGTGTGGTGTGTGTGTGTGTGTGTGTGTGTGTGTGTGTGTGTGTGTGTGTGTGTGTGTGTGTGTGTGTGTGTGTGTGTGTGTGTGTGTGTGTGTGTGTGTGTGTGTGTGTGTGTGTGTGTGTGTGTGTGTGTGGCACGGGCAGCCATTATGAGTGTGGTTCACGCTGTAATTTGTCGGGATCAGGAGCGGCCTGAGACGCAGGAAGAAGCTCTGGTTTGTTTTGGCCCCGAGCCAAAGCTTCAAGAAGGAAAACAAGCTTAATTTGTGCACACATACACTGTACAAACACACATACACTGTACAAACACACACACTGTACAAACACACACACACACTGTACAAACACACACACTCTACAAACACACACACACACACTATATTAATAGAACAATAATGTCATTGTTAGCTAATGAATGTTTCCATGCTGAACAACGGCAACATGACAACATTTTCATTGGTCCCTCTTCTTTAGAGAAGACCAGGAAATGATGGATACACGGATCGTGTTCAAATCAATAGGCACGCAATGACTCTAAATAATAATGATCACGCCACCAAACACACATTCAAACTAAAGGAACCAGCCTGTTTGGAAAATGTAAGAAGTAGAAAGTACAGGTATTTGGGTTCAACATGTAAGAAGTAGAAAGTACAGGTATTTGTGTTCAAAATGTAAGAAGTCAAAGTAAAAAGTCATCAGAAAAATAAGTAGTGGAGTAAAGTACTGATACCAGAAACATGTACTTAAGTACAGTAACAAAGTATTTGTACTCCACTACTTCCCACCTCTGAAACACACATCTATAATCCGTCTTGTTGTGTGTGTGCAGGCTGCAGCAGCGTTAGAGACAGCGAGGAGGACGGACAGATGGACAGTTTGTACCTGAAGTCTCTGGAGGGCTTCATCACCGTGGTAACGTCCGACGGGGACATGATATTCCTGTCGGAGAACATCAACAAGTTCATGGGGCTCACGCAGGTACAAATATTAAATTACAGCGGGATGAGAGGAGACTTTCCAATAAACTTGAGTCAGTTCACTTTAAACGTCTGACAGACTGTGGGGTTTGTTTTAGCATGTCAAACATATGCCATGTCACACAGGGAATTATACATATATATTTCTATACATTTGAGTTTGCAAATGGATGTTTTTTTATATAGTTTTCCAGACGTTTAATTGAATTCATCAAGACCTTACGTGTTCTTCCTTTACCAGTGAGGCAGGAAAGAAGAAAAAATTATTCTAAAAAAAAATCTGAAATTCTGATAAAAGTCTTACAAATCATACAAATCTGAAAAAAAGTCAGAAATATGATAAATAAGTTTCCCATTTTTCAGAAATACAAAAAAAGTCAGAATTCTGAAAAAGTTAAAAAAGTTAGAAATATGAAAAAATTCTGAAATTCGTAGAAAAGTCTTAAAGGTCAGAATTCAGAAAATGTTATACACATCTGAAAAAAAGTCAGAAATATGAGAAATAAGTTTCAGAATATTGATAAAAATCAGAATTATGGAAAAAAAGTCAGAATTCTGAGAAAAAAGTTGGAATTTTGAGGAAAAAATCTGAAATTCCTAGAAAAGTCTTATGCTGCGTTCACACCGGACGCGATGCGAATATTCGCTTCGCTCTAATCGCTCCTATCGCATCGCTCTAAATGCTCGAGTTTCACCGCGGCTGCCAGCTGTGTTTACTCGCATCATTCAAACACGACGCGCTGGCTCGGGAGCTACAACTACAACAAAATGAACATATTTTACCGTGATTAAATTGTAATACACGTTTCTAATTGATGCCGAAGTAACAATATACTGATACCGGTTAGTAAAAACCATGAATTAATGCTTGACAAGTCTGCAGACAGACGGCAGGCGAAAAATCTTTTAAAATGCTTGTTTTCTGAATGAAGATCGGGTCGACCAGGCTAAGCTAACGTTGTATATGCTCATTCCACACTCATAACAACGGCCTACAGACATAAATAAACCAGCGACTGTATTCACCATGGCACAGACAGTCTGTGGTTTGTACTTGTTTAACTTTTGTCCAGTTTCTGAACATATATGAGGAGCTGTGAGCTCTGTGTGCTAACTGCTAACAGCTAACGGCTGATGTTGTGTGGTTGAACGTCAGTGACGGCAGGCTGAGATCCTCACCGCTGATTGGCTTCCGCGAGAACGCGTCACGTGAATTTGACGCTCGAGTTGAAAAAATTGAACTCTCGCGTTTAACACGGCACCGTTCAATCGCCTCAATCGCGTGATTCGTGCCACGTCCACCGCTTCATGCGCGCCGTCGGAGCGAATTCGCGTCTGTCCGCGTCTCTGCATTGACTCTACATGTAATCGCGCCGCCCCCAAACAGCGCATCGCGTCCGGTGTGAACGCAGCATTAAAGGTCAGAATTCAGAAAAACTCAATCAAATCTGAAAAAAAGTCAGAAAAGTTAAAATATGGAAAAAAAATCTGAATTATGAAAAAAGTCAGAATTCCAAAAAGTCATAAAAGTTAGAATATTGAAAAAATAAATCTAAATTCAGAAAAAAAGTCAAGATTCTGAGAAAAAAATTATTCTTACATTTTCTTATTTCACAAATATACCTCACTGGTCAGAGCAGAAACAGGTCAAAAAGTCAGAACATTAGAGTTATGAAAAAAGTAATAAAAAAGTTGGAATTGTGAGAAAAAAAAAGTCATACTTTGTCTTATTTTTTCATATTTCTCAATTTCTTAATTTGTTTTCAGGTGGACATCACTGGTCAGAGCATCTTTGACTTCACCCACCCATGTGACCACGAGGAGATCAGAGAGAATCTCAACCTGAAGACGTCCGGTCAGCACTCAAAATATATTCTTCTATACGCTCAAGTTTGAAAAAGCATGTTTTCCAGCCCTTTACTTTAATCCATCATGACCTACATATAATAAGTACCCTGTCCAGTCTTCTTTCTTCAGTGAGGCAGAAACAGTTTTTATATAGTATTTAAAGACACTAAATTATATAAAAACGGTCTTTTTGTGCAGGAAGTTTCCCTTTAAATCTCCGAACAGTGTTGACCTGTTGGCTCTTCAGGATACCTCCTCTGGGGACCATGCATATCCACAGAAAGCTGTAGAAAAACAGCAGTCAGCAGTTGTATCTTATTATTGACTTATCCAAGTATTAGATGGACCCCGTGACGTCTGCAGAGCCTCCAGGGAGATGCATGTAATCTTTGGCTCTGAGCAAATCTCTATAATGTCTGGCTTGTTCCAGCACTCATGTACAGCGTAAGGGCCCCTATATTATCTTTCAGAGACCCCCCCCTCCAAACCCCCATCACCAGCAATCAGCACCCTTTCTTGTGTTTGTGGAAAGAAATGAACCCAAGGAAAATAAAACATGCATGTCTGGTGTTACAATCTGTCTCATGAACAAGTGTCCAGAACAAACACGGGAACAGAGGGTCAGAGACCGTATAGAGGGGAGCCTAAAGACAGAGTGTGTGTGTGTGTGTGTGTGTGTGTGTGTGTGTGTGTGTGTGTGTGTGTGTGTGTGTGTGTGTGTGTGTGTGTGTGTGTGTGTGTGTGTGTGTGTGTGTGTGTGTGTGTGTGTGTGTGTGTGTGTGTGTGTGTGTGTGTGTGTGTGTGTGTGTGTGTGTGTGTGTGTGTGTGTGTGTGTGTGTGTGTGTGTGTGTGGTAGCTTTGGTTTAAATATAATGTACAGCAGCTCAGGGAATTGTAACGTTTATATGAGAACATCAGGCTCTCTCTATTCTTCACACACACACAGGCGCACACAACCACACACATACACACACACATTAAGCTGTGGTTGATAACTCTTATCAGCTGTGGCCACTAAACACACATGTGGAACAATACGGTTTTAATTGTATAGTCCCTGTAATCCTCGTTCACACACACGAACACACACTCTTTTGATTCAGTGAGGCGTAGAGGGTTTGTTGAAGTGTAACTGTATAAAGATAGACACACTTACGTGTAGACTGACAAACGACACACTTCACCACTGCTGAACTCTGACCTGTGTGTGTGTGTGTGTGTGTGTGTGTGTGTGTGTGTGTGTGTGTGTGTGTGTGTGTGTGTGTGTGTGTGTGTGTGTGTGTGTGTGTGTGTGTGTGTGTGTGTGTGTGTGTGTGTGTGTGTGTGTGTGTGTGTGTGTGTGTGTGTGTGTGTGTGTGTGTGTGTGTGTGTGTTCGTTTCCCACTCACATGAAGGGCAACATTGATAAGCAAAGAGATTTAACACCATTTATAGTTCAACAGACATTTAATAATTGTAATGCTTCTTCCCAGACATTATGATATAAAATGTAAAGCGTTGTTATTTATCTCCTTCTCCTCCTGTTTGTGTTTCAGGCAGTGGTTTCGGAAAGAAAGGCAAAGATCTGAACACTGAGAGAGACTTCTTCATGAGGATGAAATGCACCGTGACCAACAGAGGACGAACCGTCAACCTCAAGTCAGCCAGCTGGAAGGTGAGAGAGGGAGGCAGCTGAAACATCTGCAACATCTGTAACACATGCAACATCTGAAACATCTGCAACATCTGTAACACATGCAACATCTGAAACATCTGAAACATCTGAAACATCTGAAACACATGCAACATCTGCAACATCTGAAACATCGGCAACATCTGAAACACATGCAACATCTGAAACATCTGCAACATCTGCAACACATGCAACATCTGAAACATCTGAAACATCTGCAACATCTGTAACACATGCAACACATGCAACATCTGAAACATCTGAAACATCTGAAACATCTGAAACACATGCAACATCTGAAACATCTGAAACACATGCAACATCTGAATCATCTGCAACATCTGCAACACATGCAACATCTGCAACACATGCAACATCTGAAACATCTGCAACATCTGAAACACATGCAACATCTGCAACATCTGAAACACATGCAACATCTGAAACACATGCAACACACACAACACATGCAACATCTGAAACACATGCAACACCTGAAACACATGCAACATCTGAAACACATGCAACAGCTGCAACATCTGAAACACATGCAACACACACAACACATGCAACATCTGAAACACATGCAACATCTGAAACACATGCAACAGCTGCAACATCTGAAACACATGCAACACACACAACACATGCAACATCTGAAACACATGCAACATCTGAAACACATGCAACATCTAAAACACATGCAACATCTGAAACACATGCCACATCTGAAACACATGCCACATCTGCAACATCTGAAACACATGCAACACATGCAACATCTGAAACACATGCAACATCTGAAACACATGCAACATCTGAAACACATGCAACATCTGAAACACATGCCACATCTGAAACACATGCCACATCTGCAACATCTGAAACACATGCAACACATGCAACATCTGCAACATCTGAAACACGTGCAACATCTGCACAGGTCGTGTTTGCACGGTCAAGACAATATGCTTTACATTTCTATACAAACTATGAATGACATTTACAAATAAAACCAATCTCAGGTTTATTAAGGGAATATATTATGAGAAGTTAGCCAAAGGGTTGATTCTTCTTCTCAGACTGATTAACCCTCAGAGGTCTAAGCCCTTTTTTAATATCGAGTAAATTACAAGAAAGGTTATATTATTTTGTGTTAATAATTAATAATAATTTTTATTATCAATATCTCAGAAACAACAAGGATACAAAAATACAGCTCTACAAGACGTAGCAAAGAACAAGTCAGAAAGCTAGCAACAACAACAATGGCCCCCGTCCTGTAACATCCACCTGTGTCTCTCACCTGTGTCTCTTACATGTGTAACATCCACCTGTGTGACCTCCACCTGTCCCCCTCTGCAGGTGCTTCACTGCACGGGTCACCTGAAGATCTACACCAGCGTTCCTCCTCGTGTTCTGTGTGGCTTCGCTGAGCCCCCGCTCACCTGTGCTGTCCTGATGTGTGAACCCATCGCTCACCCCTCCAACATCGACACGCCGCTGGACAGCAAGACCTTCCTGAGCCGACACAGCATGGACATGAAGTTCACCTACTGCGACGACAGGTGAGAACACACGCACGCACGCACGCACGCACGCAGGCACGCACACACTTTACCTGAGACACAGCATGGACATGATTTTTTTGTAGTTTTCTACCACAATGGATAATTATCCGTCAAAATCTATATATTAATATCTATAAGCAACTTCCCACACTCTCCATTCTTAAAATACATAGTACTTTGTTTTATTAAATCCTCACATTTTAGAGCCATAAACTCCAAATAAACCCCACATGACCCGAAAAGAGAGAGAAATAAAGTACTAAAAGGTTCTTTGGAGAACCCCATTATGCTTTTCCAACAAGCTGCATCTCCACATTGCCAGTTAAAACACAGATCCTTAAAGCCACACACACACACACACACACACACACACACACACACACACACACACACACACACACACACACACACACACACACACACACAACACACACACACACACACACACACACACACATACACACACACACACACACACACACACACACACACACACACACACACACATACACACACACACACACACACACACACACACACACACACACTGATTGCTGTGTGTTGACGGAGGCAGTTTGCCTTGGCACGGCCGGGATATGTAAGCCAGGCATGAAATATTAATACTTTAATAAGAAGCCGTCACGACATTGTGGGATTCGCCGAGTGTTCAGACAAGCCTGAAACACATTCCTGGGTTTTAAACATTTCACCTACTGACATCACATCATTCACAAGAGAGATGAACCACAGCTTCTTCACACCAGGGAAGGATTACTGAACAGGGCCTTAAGGGCATGCTACTTATCGGCCTTAAAATGACACTCAAAGAGACAAGAACCAGGCAGGGAGAGTCAAATTGACCACAAAAACACTACAAAGAGACCCAAAATGACCATAAAAAGACCCAAAATGACCTTTAAGAGACAGAAAATGACTAGAAAGAGACAGAGATAGCTATAAAGAGACCCAAAATGACCACTAAAACACCTAAAAATGTCCTAAAAAGTTACAAAGAGACCACAAAGTGACTCGGAATGACGTAAAGGGGCAAAACAACCACAAAGAGACACAACATTACAAAAGGACTTCATTTTGTTGCAAAGAAATACTAAATGACTACAAAGGTACAAAAATGACAAGAAAGCAACTCAAAGTATTACAATGACACTCAAAATCACTATATAAAGACTCACAGCGACTATAAAGAGACAGAACATGAACATAAAGTGACTCAAAATGACTACAAAGGTACACACAATTACTTCAAAGAGACAACAATGACAAGAAAGAGTGTCAAATTATTATAAATAGACTCAAAATCACTACAAAATGACCAATAAGAGACAGAAAATGACTACAAAGGGATGCAAACGTATTCAAAAAGATAACAAATAATTACAGAGATGATAAAAACAACATATAAAAATGATTACAGAGACAAAAAAAGGTGCAAAAATAGTCAAAACGACAACTACATTTAACAACAAAACTACTACACACACACACACACACACACACACACACACCACACACACACACACACACACACACACACACACACACACACACACACACACACACACACACACACACACACACACACACACACACACACACACACACACTGATTGGAGTTACACAAGCACATGCTCGCAGACCTGTAATCTTATCGAATTGCTCATGCAGGACAAAGGTTTCTTGAGAGGTGTGTGTGTGTGTGTGTGTGTGTGTGTGTGTGTGTGTGTGGGGTGTGTGTAGGTGTGTGTGTGTGTGTGTGTGTGTGTGTGTGTGTGGTTGTGTGTGTGTGTTGTGTGTGTGTGTGGTGTGTGTGTGTGTGTGTGTGTGTGTGTGTGTGTGTGTGTGTGTGTGTGTGTGTGTGTGTGTGTGTGTGTGTGTGTGTGTGTGTGTGTGTGTGTGTGTGTGTGTGTGTGTGTGTGTGTGTGTGTGTGTGTGTGTGTGTGTGTGTGTGTGTGTGTGTGTGTGTGTGTGTGTGTGTGTGTGTGTGTGTGTGTTGCGTGCACACTCCTGCACGTAGCGCTCTGTAGACAAGGACCCCATTTTGTTGTTTTCCTCCTTATTGATACGACTCGATGGCTGCCCAAATCTTCTGACCAATTACGCAAATTAGTTTTAATTGTGGGCGGATCAGCGGGGAATAAGACTCATTAGAGACGAGAGCGAGGGTTTCCTCATGTTGGCAGGGCAGCGGCTCGAGAAAGGGAACGAGGAGAGGAAATATGGAGAGGAGGGAAGGAGGGTAAAACGGGAACTGAGAAAGTTATGTGCACCCCTGTCTATAATAGTTAATTATCCAACAAAAAAACGAGCATTTTAAGATGCCTTATTCTGCTTTTTGGGGGGTTTTCCTCTCCTGTAGTGTGTTCTATAGGTTTTAGTGCATGTAAATGGTCTGCAAAGGCGTGATAGGCTAAGGGGGCGGGACATCGCTAAGCGGTTGACCAATCACACAACAGAGCCCGTTTAAAGGATTCAATGGGCCATAAAGACAGAATTACAAAACCCTGACAGTGGCGTTACATTATTCTGTTAAATATAAACGTGAGCTAAACAGTAATCAAATTCTATGCATTTTCTAAAACAGAAAAACTGTATTTACTGGTTTCCCTTTACTTGATTTTTCCCTTTATTATATCTCCCATTTTCCCAACCGTTCCTCTTCGTTCTGAGATCACTTTTGATTTCTCTGCCCTCGCTCCACTCTGCTTCTGCCAGTGTTATGAAATCTGAGAGTCTCTCTGAAACTCAAAGACTCTTTATTAGCATGCACATAATAAATCACAGTATTGCCAAAGCACAATGTACAAGGGGGTAGTAACGGTTTGAAAAAGGAAAGCAAAACATAATCCAACAATAGTGGCACACACACACGTTGCCAAAGAGCCAAATGAAATCACATTCCAGCCGCTTTTATTCAGCCTCTCTCCTCTTTACAACCTTGTGATCTGGGGTCACTTCCTGTTGCTGGTTTGATTAAGTTCTCACAGCTCAGTTTGTTGGGAAGACACTTTCACACACTCTTTAAAGTAGAGACACTACATACTGATATACACCTGAACATCAGCAGGAGAGGACTCTTTAAAGTAGAGACACTACACACTGATATACACCTGAACATCAGCAGGAGAGGACTCTTTAAAGTAGAGACACTACATACTGATATACACCTGAACATCAGCAGGAGAGGACTCTTTAAAGTAGAGACACTACATACTGATATACACCTGAACATCAGCAGGAGAGGACTCTTTAAAATAGAGACACTACATACTGATATACACCTGAACATCATCAGCAGAGGACTCTTTAAAGTAGAGACACTAAATACTGATATACACCTGAACATCAGCAGGAGAGGACTCTTTAAAGTAGAGACACTACATACTGATATACACCTGAACATCAGCAGGAGAGGACTCTTTAAAATAGAGACACTACATACTGATATACACCTGAACATCAGCAGGAGAGGACTCTTTAAAGTAGAGACACTACATACTGATATACACCTGAACATCAGCAGGAGAGGACTCTTTAAAGTAGAGACACTACATACTGATATACACCTGAACATCAGCAGGAGAGGACTCTTTAAAGTAGAGACACTACATACTGATATACACCTGAACATCATCAGGAGAGGACTCTTTAAAGTAGAGACACTAAATACTGATATACACCTGAACATCAGCAGGAGAGGACTCTTTAAAGTAGAGACACTACATACTGATATACACCTGAACATCAGCAGGAGAGGACTCTTTAAAATAGAGACACTACATACTGATATACACCTGAACATCAGCAGGAGAGGACTCTTTAAAGTAGAGACACTACATACTGATATACACCTGAACATCAGCAGGAGAGGACTCTTTAAAGTAGAGACACTACATACTGATATACACCTGAACATCAGCAGGAGAGGACTCTTTAAAGTAGAGACACTACATACTGATATACACCTGAACATCAGCAGGAGAGGACTCTTTAAAGTAGAGACACTACATACTGATATACACCTGAACATCAGCAGGAGAGGACTCTTTAAAGTAGAGACACTACATACTGATATACACCTGAACATCAGCAGGAGGGGACTCTTTAAAGTAGAGACACTACATACTGATATACACCTGAACATCAGCAGGAGGGGACTCTTTAAAGTAGAGACACTACATACTGAGGTAAGCCAGCAAAAAAATAATCCCGTTTAACAAAGTGAACTTGTGATGGGAGTGACAGAAAGAGATTAGCTGTTCTCAGAAACACGGGGCGTAGCGGAGGAGAATGTGAACAATTCTTATTTCTGGAAAACTCACCTCTCTGCTTGATTTCTAAATCATGTGTGAAGCCTTTTGAAGTGCGAGAGCTCAGGAGAGTCGATGTTCTGAGCATGAGAAGGGAATAACAGAGAAGGTCAAATGAATGATGATGTTGTGCATGGTAAGTGTGTGTCATTAAGTGTGTGTATGTGTGTGTGTTACAGGGTGACAGAGTTGATGGGATACACTCCTGATGATCTGATTGGTCGCTCAGTCTACGACTTGTATCACGCCTTGGACTCAGACGGCGTCACCAAGAGTCACAACAACCGTAAGTCAATAAATAGGGCTGAAAGAAACAAGAATAAAACAAATAAAACAAGAATATAATAAATAAAATAGGAATATAATAAATAAGTACAATACAAATAAGATATATATATATATATATATATATAATTATTAAAGACCCAAATACAAATTAAAACAATTAAGAAAATACTTAAATATAAAATAAATTAAATTACAGGCTGTATTTCTTACAATTTGAATGTATTCTGTTTTCTGGTGTGTGTGTGTGTGTGTGTGTGTGTGTGTGTGTGTGTGTGTGTGTGTGTGTGTGTGTGTGTGTGTGTGTGTGTGTGTGTGTGTGTGTGTGTGTGTGTGTGTGTGTGTGTGTGTGTGTGTGTGTGTGTGTGTGTGTGTGTGTGTGTGTGTGTGTGTGTGTGTGTGTGTGTGTGTGTGTGTGTGTGTGTGTGTGTGTGTGTGTGTGTGTGTGTGTGTGTGTGTGTGTGTGTGTGTGTGTGTGTGTGTGTGTGTGTGTGTGTGTGTGTGTGTGTGTGTGTGTGTGTGTGTGTGTGTGTGTTCTTTATTAAATAAAACACAGTCATTGATGCTCTGATGAGGTTTGCACATCTGCTGCCACAAACACACACTGCACAGGGGACCAGGTGGCCTCTATTTAATCTGTTTTGGTGTGTGTGTGTGTGTGTGTGTCACACAAACACACACACACACCAAAACAGTGTGTGTGTTCGTAACAAGGCTCTGAAGTGCCATGTGTTTTCTCTCCACTGACGGTACTATATCATTAGAAGATTTGACAGTGCATGAGGAAAACTGGTGTGTGTGTGTACTCTGCAAAAATGATGGCAGTTTCGTGCTCTCCACAAGTATAAAATAATACTAAATAAAAAATGTATTCCACGGTGTTTGTTGTCCACAGCTGATGTTAAACTGACCGGACTTCTTTCTGTGGATTGATATGACTGCACAAAAAAATATCTGCAAAAGATATCAGACCTTTGGAATGTCCAAACTGACCAATCAGAATGTAATATTTATCTAAGCCATGTAATAAGTGTAATTATCTGTTTTCCAGTTATGGTATTATAAGTATATATATGTATAATAACAGCAAACTGAAAAAATACATATTCTTAAAAGAACTACAAACAGATTCAAGTACAAGAAGTTAACGTTTGTATTGCAATGAAGGATCTGACTTGCGATTACTGGACTCCTTAGTTGGCTGTTGAGATAAAGAGCTCTCTATCTCACTTGCTATATGTCACACACACACACACACACACACACACACACACACACACACACACACACACACACACACACACACACACACACACACACACACACACACACACACAGGCTCTCAAGGCCAACGTGACCAGCCTGTCGATCGGCACATGCTAACAGCGTTCTCTGCTACATGTCATTTTGCAATGAGCGTCCTCAAAAAACACACACACACACACACACACACACACACACACACACACACACACACACACACACACACACACACACACACACACACACTCAGTCAGTGGCCTTATGTACACTCTGACCACAGCTCTGCTCCTTTCCCACGCCAGCGCTGAAACTCTGGACCGCAGCCAGCCGGCTCCAAGTCAAACATTTCTGCAGCTAACCCAACATTAGTCCCTTCCACAGATTTGTGGATATTTCATGAATAATACAAAAGTTAAACACTTAAATAAGCTTATATAGTTGGTCTGAACATGACCTGCAAAGTTTATTAAATAATATTGTAGGTTAAACTCGGTTAAAGGTCAACAGATCATAAAAGTGTGCTTCCTTCCAAGAAGATTTTTTAGTATCTACTGGAGACAGGACAATAAAATCTCATAACATTATTATGTTACTATCAATAAATAAAGTCATGTTTTACAACCCTTGTTGTAGCACTAGATCAGTAACAGGATTACGTAATCAGGAGGTAACTGTATCTCCTTACAGTTACATAATAAATAAGATGTTCATCAAACAGTGTGTGTGAGCTTCACTGTGTGTATTAAACTAAAACGGATCATTTCCTGTCAGCTCAGATTTTATTTTTGCTTTTTCAAACTGTAGTATGTGCTCATGTGTTTCATTGTTAGGCTGCTGAATATGATAACACTGTGTCTCTGTGTGCAGTGTGCTCTAAGGGGCAGGCGGTCAGCGGTCAGTATCGAATGCTGGCGAAGAACGGAGGCTACGTGTGGGTGGAGACGCAGGGAACCGTTATTTACAACAGCCGTAACTCCCAACCTCAGTGCATCGTCTGCATCAACTACGTCCTCAGGTGAGAGCAGAGACACACACACAGTTAGAGATCACTGGAGGATTCACTACATACTGATATACACCTGAACATCAGCAGGAGAGGACTCTTTAAAGTAGAGACACTACATACTGATATACACCTGAACATCAGCAGGAGAGAACTCTTTAAAGTAGAGACACTACATACTGATATACACCTGAACATCAGCAGGAGAGGACTCTTTAAAGTAGAGACACTACATACTGATATACACCTGAACATCAGCAGGAGAGGACTCTTTAAAGTAGAGACACTACATACTGATATACACCTGAACATCAGCAGGACAGGACTCTTTAAAGTAGAGACACTACATACTGATATACACCTGAACATCAGCAGGACAGGACTCTTTAAAGTAGAGACACTACATACTGATATACACCTGAACATCAGCAGGAGAGGACTCTTTAAAGTAGAGACACTACATACTGATATACACCTGAACATCAGCAGGAGAGGACTCTTTAAAGTAGAGACACTACATACTGATATACACCTGAACATCAGCAGGAGAGGACTCTTTAAAGTAGAGACACTACATACTGATATATACCTGAACATCAGGAGGAGAGGACTCTTTAAAGTAGAGCAACTACATACTGATATACACCTGAACATCAGCAGGACAGGACTCTTTAAAGTAGAGACACTACATACTGATATACACCTGAACATCAGCAGGAGAGGACTCTTTAAAGTAGAGACACTACATACTGATATACACCTGAACATCAGCAGGACAGGACTCTTTAAAGTAGAGACACTACATACTGATATACACCTGAACATCAGCAGGAGAGGACTCTTTAAAGTAGAGACACTACATACTGATATACACCTGAAAGAGTGTGTTCTGTATCTCTACACAAGTCTCACACTGCCCTCCTCTCTGAACCCACAGTGACATCGAGGAGAAGTCGATGATTTTGTCTCTGAAGCAGACCGAGCCACTGTTTAAGCCGCAACACATGAGCAGCTTCTTCACCGCGGGGGGTGCAGGAGTGAGTGGAGAGCCCGGTGACTCTCTGTTCAACAAACTGAAGGAGGAGCCGGAGGAGCTGGCCCAGCTGGCGCCAACACCCGGAGACACCATCGTCACCCTGGACTTTGGTATGTATCTGCTGTAATCACATGATGGCATCATTATGATTATAAGCAATTATACCCTCTTCTTTGACCGGTATTACAGTTAGACAATGGCAACTACCATATTCATTCTAAATGATCCTGTAAATGATACGATACGATACAATATGGTATTTCTTATGGTATCAAAAGTGTTTTCGATACCATAAGAAACAATACAATACGCTCCAGTATTTTACGTTACTTTACAATACTATACGCTACAATACTATACGATACAATACAATACTATATGATACTATTCAATACTATACTATACCATACGATACAATACTGGACGATACAATACTATACGGCACAATAAGATATGATACAATACAATACGATACAATAGTAAACAATAGTAAACAATATGATATAATACGATACAATAGTAAACGATACAATACTATACAATCCACGATTCACGACAAACGATACTATAAGATACGATATGGTACGACACAAAACAATATGATACTATACGAACCTATACGATAAGAAACAACATGGTTCTCTGTGCTTCGATACGATAATATACAATATAAAAACACAATACAATACATTTAACTGAATGTGTTTCGCCTCTCTCCTGCAGATTGCCCTGTGTTCGAGGAGCCTCCGCAGCCTGGAGGATACACCCAGGTGTCGGCTGCAGCTATGTCCCCTCCTGGACCTCCTTCCTGGGCCATCGAGAGCCACAAGCTCTCCCGCCCGGTACCACTTCCAAGAGAAATGTCCAACATGGTGGGACCGTTCACCCTTCATCAGAATCCTCCGCCAAGCAGCAACACCCCCAGCCTGAGCAGCTGCTCCACGGTGAGACCCTGACCTTAAACAGGAAGCAGGAAGTAGTTAGTGAGCAAGGACTGGTTGTGTTGGTTTGTTCTGTTTTCTGTGAGGTCTGGGGGGGTCGAGGTCAATAACTGTGGGCACTGTGTGTGAGAATAATGTGGGAGGATATTTGGAAAGAGCAGACTCTAAGCAGTGAATAGTGCCTCTGTTAAAAATAATCTCTTCGTTTCCGTCTTTAACTTTCTTTTTACACTCTTACGTGTCGTCACTACAATGCTGCCAACAGTCTTACCTACCTACCTACCTACCTACCTACCTACCTACCTACCTACCTACCTACCTACCTACCTACCTACCTACCTACCTACCTACCTACCTCCCTACCTCCCTACCTCCCTACCTACCTACCATTACAACTCATCTCTTAGTATTTATCTCTCCCCCCCCTGCAGCCCAGCAGTCCAGGAGATTACTACACCTCCCTGGAGAGTGACCTGAAGGTGGAGCTGACGAAGAAACTGTCTGCTCTGGAGACAGAGGGCAGCGACAGCCCTGCAAACACTGAGGTGCCTGTAAGTCGAATATATTATGCTAATGTATAAAACGTCTCCGTCTGTTAAAATACACCTGAACATCAGCAGGAGAGGACTCTTTAAAGTAGAGACACTACATACTGATATACACCTGAACATCAGCAGGAGAGGACTCTTTAAAGTAGAGACACTACATACTGATATACACCTGAACATCAGCAGGAGAGGACTCTTTAAAGTAGAGACACTACATACTGATATACACCTGAACATCAGCAGGAGAGGACTCTTTAATGTAGAGACACTACATACTGATATACACCTGAACATCAGCAGGAGAGGACTCTTTAAAGTAGAGACACCACATACTGATATACACCTGAACATCAGCAGGAGAGGACTCTTTAAAGTAGAGACACCACATACTGATATACACCTGAACATCAGCAGGAGAGGACTCTTTAAAGTAGAGACCCTACATACTGATATACACCTGAACATCAGCAGGAGAGGACTCTTTAAAGTAGAGACACTACATACTGATATACACCTGAACATCATCAGGAGAGGACTCTTTAAAGTAGAGACACTACATACTGATATACACCTGAACATCAGCAGGAGAGGACTCTTTAAAGTAGAGACACTACATACTGATATACACCTGAACATCAGCAGGAGAGGACTCTTTAAAGTAGAGACACTACATACTGATATACACCTGAACATCAGCAGGAGAGGACTCTTTAAAGTAGAGACACTACATACTGATATACACCTGAACATCAGCAGGAGAGGACTCTTTAAAGTAGAGACACTACATACTGATATGAACCCTTTAACAAACCATGTCTTCCTTCTCTTTCCAGAGGGACCTGAGTGATTTGGACCTGGAGACGTTGGCTCCGTACATCCCGATGGACGGCGAGGACTTCCAGCTGCACCCCATCATCCCCGAATCTGATTCCATGGAGGGGGGGTCCAACATCCTGCATCCCACCAAACCCATCAAACCCAGTTTCAGCAACATCGCCAGCCTCTTTCAGCCTCTTTCCTCCCCCCAAAACCCACCGGGAAACTTCCAGCATCAGGCCGCATTATCCTGGGCTCCAGAGGGGGAAAGGGGCTCCAGAATAGGAGGGTCTTACATGAATAATCCCTCCTATCAGGCTCCAGCCACTACCAGCACCCCTCTGTCCTCCATGGGGGGCATGCAGAATCTGCAGTGGCCCCCAGACCCTCTGTTAACCTACCAACAACAACAACAGACGCCCAAGGTCTACCTGAGGGAGCCTTTGTTGAGAGAGGAGAGGCCATCATGCCAGCAGAACATGTCTCACCTGATGCAGAAACAGAGGTGATTAATACAGACACAACATTTCACCTTTTACAAAAACAATACAGATATTTTTGTCCAAATAATAATAATAATAATAATAATAATAATAATAATAATAATAATAATAATAATAATGCATGTTATTTATATAGCGCTTTTCCTGGTGCTCAAAGCGCTTAATATTTTTTATTTATATAGGGTTTAAGTATGCAGTAATAATAAAAAAAAATTATGATACAAAATGTAAAAGGGCAGATAAATGAATGGACAGTATTTTTAAATGCAACCTGTTCGTAGTAATTAATCTAAAGACTGCTGGCTGTTTTTATGTATTATAATTGTGTGTGTGTGTAGGTCCGTTGATAACTTTGTGCAGGCCTACAGAGACATGAGTCCAGCCAGAGTGGCCATGGCCAACAGCATCAAGCGCTCCTTCAATCAGATGGCTGTGGTGAGTTTTTTGTGGAAACTATTTTTGTTTTAATTTAATCTTTAAAATGTAAATCCTTTTCTATCATGGCTACGTGATAACAAAAATCAAGAACAAGACTTATTTAAGGTCAACATATAGCTTTGATAATACCTGTTTACTAAATTAAGCACAGTGGTCTTGAGTTGTTTGAGGAAATGTATTCTTTTTTCTTTGTGTTTCAGGGCGAGGGTCCTACGTCAGACTGCATGTGGAAGAGAATGAGGAGTGACAGCAACATGGATCGCTCCCTCAGTGCAGGATCACTGGAAGGTAAGAGACTCTTATCTGTGTGTGTGTGTGTGTGTGTGTGTGTGTGTGTGTGTGTGTGTGTGTGTGTGTGTGTGTGTGTGTGTGTGTGTGTGTGTGTGTGTGTGTGTGTGTGTGTGTGTGTGTGTGTGTGTGTGTGTGTGTGTGTGTGTGTGTGTGTGTGTGTGTGTGGTGTGTGTGTGTGTGTGTGTGTGTGTGTGCGTGTGCGTGTGTGTGGTGTAACATTGTAATCCTAATTTTTGGGAACTGTAAACTGATTACGTATTTTCTATGTAACTGTAAGGGAATAAATGTACGTCTTTCTTTTAAAGTCCCCTACGTGTATTGGGGTTACAGATGGGGTCCAAAACTAGCAAGCCACACGAATGTCTGGGAGCAATTTAATTTTATATGCTACACAAATATGACCAGGATCTGTAGAAAGAAAGGGAGGTCATAGAAGACTATTTCTGCTAAAAAGTGAGCAATAATTGAGAGTCAGAGCTAAACCTTTCAGATGTGTGTATCTCACACTGCACTGTACCTTTAATTAATGTACCTTTGTTATTCATGTTTTATTATCTTTGCTTTTAAATGAGTGTTTTTAAATGCCGTTTTATAATATATTTCTTAATGTCTTTCATTTTTGTAAAGCACTTTGAATTGCCTTGTGTTGAAAGGTGCTATATAAATGAACTTGCCTTTTATCCAGATAATATAATCCCATTACATGTAATCCATTACTCCTCTGGCCTTTCTGTTAAATTGTACCTGTTACCTGTGTGTGTGTGTATGTGTGTGTGTGTGTGTGTGTGTGTGTGTGTGTGTGTGTGTCAGCGTCAGACATGGAGATGATGTCTTCACGTCTGCAGCAACACAGGAAGTCTCAGTTTCCAGGAAACGAGAAACTCTTTTCCCAAAAGAGCTGCAACTTCACACCGTACAACCTGCAGCCTTCCAGCAAGAGCCAGGGTGAGCCCACGGCAGTGTTTACAATCTAACGATTGAAAATGCATGTTTTTGCAATTTTTTTCTTACATTTTCTCTGAATTTTGCCTTTTGTTTGTGACTTACCAGAACTCTCACTGTTTCTCAGATTTTGACTTTTCAGAATTTTCACTATTTTTTATTATCACTTCTCAGAATTCTTCCTTTTTTCAAAATGTAACCCTAACCCCTAACCCTTTTTATTATCACTTTTTCTCTACTTTTTTTCATAAAACTTTTCCCAGAATTATGACCTATTTTTCAAAATTCTCACTTTTTCAGATTTGGACTTTTCAGAATTTTGACTTCTTTTTATTATCACTTTTTCTCAGAATTACCACTTTTTCTCAGAAGACTCACTTTTTTTCATAAATTCTCACTTTTTCTCAGATTTTTCACTAAAAATGTTTTTCTGCAAAGCAATATTTTTTCTCACTTTTCTTGTGTTTTGGGGTCACAAACAGAAACGTATCTAACTGTTCCTTGCATCCTTCTGATAAATCCTTGACACAACATTTTTCTGATTCGCCTCCTTTCCTGTCACTTCGTAGGGATTGCAAGCCGTCTGCTGGGCCCTTCCTTCGAGGCGTCTTGCCTGCCGGAACTGACCCGTTACGACTGTGAGGTGAACGTCCCTCTGCAGGGGAACCTGTACCTGCTGCAGGGCTGCGACCTGCTCAGAGCCCTGGACCAATCAGCCTAGAGATTAAACAACATAGACTTAAAGCCTTCTGAGGCTAAGCTACCTACAGGGGACGGTATTCATTACCCTGACTCATTATAGGGCTCAATCTGTCCCTCTATAGTCCTGCAACATCTTAAACAAGCTGAGATATCAGGGTCAAGCCACTTAAAGCCCCTTTTTCCTCTTGACTTAAATCAGATGAAACACAAAAGCATTGAGCCGACCACCTAGACTACAAACACACATAGGATATATAACCAGGGTCACTCGGTGAACAAATATCAAGAAAATATCTCACAGAGTAAATGTGATGAATCTCTCTCTGACACCCTGATGGTTCTATGTGTTCAGAAACTCTGGCTTTTGGTGTAAAATGGGTAAAAGTGGCAGGTCTGCACCTAACCCTAAACCCTAAATACCACCAGCTGTTTCCTGCTAAGGCTCAGTGAGACCCTGATATGAACTCTATGCAGCTCATTTCCTTTCTCTTTCCCTGCATTTAGCTCAGAGGAGAAGTACTATAGACACTGTGTTCTTTCACTTTGTGTATTTGACCAGCAATTAGACAGAGCCTTTCCAGCAATTAGACAGAGCCGCTCTTTCCCCTAGTCCCAGTCAAAGTCTCAATCGGGAGTTGTTAAATGGTTCTTAACTGTAGCCATCTTTTTAAAATTTGTAATGATAATTTTACAATGCATGCTCTTTGATTATGCAGATTAACCCCCCCCCCCCCTATAACAAATAAATAAGATGGTTGATAAAAGACACAACTTCCAAATCACACGACGAGATTTCAGAACGTCGAAACTCAAGAAAAGACTTGAAAAAATAAATATATTTCAGTTTTATTTCATTTTCCAAAGAGAAACTGATAATTAGAATCTATAAGAAGAATATAAATGAGACCTAAATCTGCACAATCCTTTTCCACAAATACAAAACTACTCATTATAATTTTATTAACAGAGTATGATTCAGACAAAGTACTTCTGTTTGGGTCAATTTAAAATAAATATGAATTGTTATTTAGGTATTCAAATGAGTCTATTTCTCCGTCGTTGAACCGAGAAATTTGATCAGATTCACCGACATTTAAATGGACTGTTTAGTTTCTCCTCATTTATTTTGTTATATTTTCACTCTGCCTACCAGATTCCTTTATTGTGTTGGTGTCTCTCTCACAGACACACTAATAAACATATATTGCAATACATGTACTCTACTGTAAGTTGAATACGTTTTATGTTTCTATCTTCTCTTCTTCTAAAACGTCTTTCACTTTTTCCACAGTCAGGTCATGGATTACAGGGTTATTTTTCTCTTATTGTGCAATTATTTCACTGAGATAGTCAGTATCATAGCTTTTATAGCCTTTTACACAATTCTGATTGCTTGTTGTTAGACTTACACTATACAAGAAAAAGTACATTTAAAGACTATCTTAGGGGCAGCGCTGAGGATAAAAGAGGATGCAATCTTTTTTTTTTGCTCTATTTTTTGCCATTAATAGACCATCAGTGTTTTAGGCTACCTAACTATAGATCAAGTTTAGTTTCGCTTGTTTCGTCGTGTTAGTTTAACTTGCAAAAAACATATATTTCTCTTAAAGTTACCCTCTCTGTAACGCTGTTTAAATGCAACTTGATTAGACAAGTCTGCCGTGCATTGCCTGATTCATTCAATTTAATTGATCAATCTAAAGATATTGCACACTGTATAGCTGCAGCTTTGTTGGATTACTTGAATTCAGGAAATATAACAAACATAGTGAACACTTTAAATTATGTTGTTGATAATTCCCAGAGGAATTAAAATCCGACCATCAGTCCAAAAGCCAAAGATATTAATTTAAAGAAAAATTCCAAACAACAGCGACAATGTTAGCTGTAATGTAAAGAATGTGAGATTTGCACTAAATGTGCTAAAAGTCAATGATCTGCCACTTTAAGATTCCTTAAAGGGGATATAGATGAGGCTCCACCAACTTTCCGTTGAAAACAAAGAGTTGGTGCCAAGCTGAAAATATAGTTTATCGTGCCTAAAAGCTGCTTCGTCGTGTATTGCACATTAAACAACAGAAATTATCTAGAATTTAGATTTTTTTATACTTTCACTTCGCAAAAAAAGGCAGTATATCACAGTTAGTAATGATGCTAACGATGCTCACGTCAACGTAAAAACTCAATGTACTGTAGTGACTGTAGACGCTGCATTAAAATATTAATGACTGACAAGCCAAGGACATCTCAATGTAATTATTAGCAACTCGTCCATCATTAGATTGAAAGGAAATCTATCCCTTATATATATTTTAATGTCACCGTATCTTCACCGATCATCGATGAAAAAATGCACAGTATTCTTAATATTTGGATATGATTGTTGTAAAACCTCAGAATCTGCATTTACCGCCAGTAATATCAACAATGGAACACAAAAAGGGGCGGGGCCATTATGTAGAGGGAAAGTACTTGAGCCAATCAGAGGGGTCGATCCAAAAAAAGAAGTCCTACTTGAATTAAAAAAGCCACTTTAACTTTTGATGAATTAGGGCAGTGGAGGTCGCTCCATCCCAAAAAACTAGATAGTGTTTAGTAAATAATTGAGTCATTTATGTGTTCATTAGCCTTAGTTTCATTGCAGCCTTTAAAAAGCGACTTGAAAGTGTGTGTTTTAAACTTCATGATTAGGAAAAAGGCCAGTGTTTCTTGTAATCCACGACACAAAGTAGCTGCCAATATCAGAAAGCTTTGAGAATATCACTCTGCGAACTAGAAGCTGAAATGATATATCTTTGAATATATAATCTCCTCCGCAGTATGCCATCAGTGAAAACACTTCTCTGTTTCCTTTCAGTATTTTTCCTAAATCTCGCTCTACTTTCTGGAGGGTAATCGTCTTCTTGTGATGACCACTTAAGAGTATGAATTACAGAGCTTTGTTCACGTTACGTATTTAAAGAGACAAAACTAATGTTGAAGATAGTGTTTTTTAGTGTTTATGTGTTCTGGTACTTTGTCCTTATCTACCCTGTAGATGCCGATGGATCAGATCCTTCAGTGCTGTTTCTGTGTTCGTGGCATTTTGTTTTATCCTCTATCTCTCAAATATCTATTGAATCTGTTGGTTGGGCAGTTCTGTTTTTGTTCTTGCTTTAAGACATAAAAAAAAAAAAAAAAAGTTCAGATTTAAACATGAGTTTCACTTTTTCAGATATGTAGCATTTTGAATATTGTAAAGAGGGTGAAGTTGCTTTATGAATAATCACATAGTTGCATATATAAAAGCAATGTTGCTTCATATACCATGTATGTGTCATTTCTAGGACCTGTATTACATATCTTGGATCCAGTAACACTATATTTTGATGTTGTATGTTGTGCTGACATTTTCTTTAAAGTTGGTTTTAATCTGTAAAATGTGCCTTATGGTTGTCTCAAAACATGCCCGATTTGCCCTTCGAGCGCACAGTTTGTTCCCTTAACCTGTTGATAACTTCTTCCTATTCCAATATAAAATAAAATCCTAACTTGACATTGTATCTAGCAATTATATGAAGTACAAATACAGAAACAGATTTGCTTTTGTTGGCCTTTTGCACAATGGGGATACAATGTCATAATTGGGATGATTTCACGATAACCCCCTTAACTTTCAAAGACAATAGCTCCTTTATTCTAGTCTGAGAACATCCAACAATAGCCATGTTTAGATGCAAGTAGAACCCTTTTAGAACCCGTTGTAGATCCCCTGGTGATGACGAGTCAAAATTAGTGAAAGGTTTCAGAGGGAATGGATTCCCCAGCTCATCGAAAGACCTGACAGTCTGTTTGGTGACGAAGCTGATCGAGGGTTTTTCAGATTAGTTGAAAAAAAAAAAAGATTTGACTGTAGTTTAAAAAGTTCTCTTGGGAGAGTCAAAGGTCAAAAAGTGCCCTGCATGAGTGCTTAATAATGCACATGAGCACAAAAGCTTTATTCCATGGACGTATAAAGAGAACTGGATTCAGGGTTTGAGGCGGGTAGTTGAGTTTTGCTTGAGTCCTGCCTCCATTCACTAAACCCCGCCTCCATTCACTAAACCCCGCCTCCACTTCGGCACATTTTTTAGCACTTTACAACTTTTAGACCCTTTAAATAAGGGTTACAAAATAATTCGTACTGGGTTGTTGATTTGGCTAGGGGGAAAAAAGTATATGCTGATTTAAAGACGTCCCTTTCCTAATGTAAGTCAATGGGGGAACGTTTTTTTTGACCCAATGACATCATGGACTTTAACCTAAGTGTAGTACCGCCGTTTGGCCACTACAAAAATGTGCGTATACGTCAAGCGTACTTTCTGGGTGCTTGCTTCATTCATGTTTTTGTCCATTATCATATTATTTGGCCCTTTTTCAATTGCTAAAATCATTAGAGCACGATAATCTGGAAGTTAAGACTTAAAATCCTATCATAACTTCTGAAAAATTCAAATATTTGACGATCCACATTCTGGAAGAGTTCACAGTGAAGACGCCAGCTCAGGCACATGGTGTTTATTTGGATTGCAGATTAATATTTCTTCGGGCAGTGGGTGTGGACACAGTTTGGACAGTTATAGGAGATATGATAAAGATTGATGTTGAGTGAAACGTAGAAAGAGAGATACTGCTCAGCCTGCCCACTGACGCATATCTCTCAACTCCTACTCTCGACATACAACTCATCAGTTTCCACTCTCACTCCCCTTTTACCTCCTGATATATCAGCAAATTACTTTATATAAGAGCACGTTTTTATTATTGCTCAAATTGAAAGTTCGTCCCAAGCCGAAACACGGACCAAATTACTTTTTGTAGGATTATGTAAAGCAAGTCTATGTCTGATCAAACGTTGATTTTCCAGAAAAGCCTCCTACAGCTTTTCCCAAAGCAAGTCCTTATTATTATAATTGCAGATTTAATGTAAGATATTAAAACTGTCCCAATCTGTACCATGTACTACGTTCTTTATTGGAGAGAAAAGAGATTTTTTGGGCGATGTCAAATGAAATAAAGGCACCTCAGATGGACTTTTTAGCAACTGATGAGATTTTAACTAAATTGGTTTAAGGTATGTGGAAATAGTTGGCTAGATGGATGTTGGTTTAAAAATATAAAATCTAGGCAGAGAGAAAGTCCCGCCCCCATTTGAAGCTAGCATCTGCTCCACTAGATCTAAAGGGTTGTCTAAATTAACACACTTATTTATTTGGACCAAGATAATAACTACTTATATACACTTTATATAGTCTTACATTTTCTTAGGAGATGTAGTTGTTTATCTTAACCCTGTTGTATCTTTGCTCAATTGAAAAAACTTAAAACTTTTACTCCTCAATTGTCACATAATACATTCAAGTTTCTTAAAATATTGACAGTTACCCATAGGGACAGGTGTTAGTTGTTCATAAAAACTAATGCTAGTAGCACAGGCAATTTTAAAAATGGGCGGGGCTTCAGCTCAGAGAGGATGTCCCGCCCCCTTTTGAAGCTAGTTTCTGCTCCAATAGAAGTAGCCTATATTTACCGGTATATATCAATGTTTCTTAAAATATAGATACATAACGATAGGAACAGGTGGTCAGAGAAACTGAATGAGCAATAAAGCTAATGCTAATAGCACAAATGCTATTACAAAAATGGGCAGGGCTTCAGCTCAGAGAGGAAGTCCCGCCCTCATTTATAGCTAGCTTCTTCTCCTCTAGATTCTACGAGAAAATGTAAGTATATATACCAGTATGTATTATTGTTTCTTAAAATCTAGATACATAACAATAGGAACAGGTGGTCAGAGAAACTGAATAAAGATATCTCTCTGAGCTAAAAAGCTAATGCTAGTAGCACAGACGCTAACCTGAAATGGGCAGGGCTCCAGCTCAGAGGGGAAGTCCCGCCCCCATTTATAGCTAGCTTCTTCTCCTCTAGATTCTACGAGAAAATGTAAGTTTATATACCAGTATGTATTTTCGTTTCTTAAAATATAGATACTTAACGACAGGAACATGTGTTCAGAGAAATGCTAGTAGCACAGATGCTAACCTAAAATGGGCGGGGCTTCATCTCTTTGTTTAAACACTAGAAAGCTTCTCACCAGTCGTAGTCCCAAACAAACTGTGCTGCTCGTAGGGTTTCCCAACAAAGGAAAATACAGAATGTTTCCAGGAGTTAATACCCATAATTCATTGCACTTCCTCTTTACAAGAAGATATCAGCATTTTGTCTTTCGTCTCGTGGCAACAGGGTTTTTGTTTGTCCTCATGGGACCTATGTTCAGTTACTCATATTCTGTTTTTATCTTCGTCATACAGTGCAGTTATATTAGCTGATTCAGCATTTTTTTACATGTTAAAAATGCATATTGACCTTATTATTATCATATACTGTTATCATTGTAATGGGGAGTTTAACCCCAGTAAGAAGTTTGTGTTTCTGCACTGATATCTTATTATTAAAGCATACTGATCTTTCCCTTCGACATTGGCCTCCTGCGTGGTTTATTGTGCATTTTATTTTATTTCAATATTGTTTTATGTTCTGATTTCTTAGCATATGTTGTTGAAGAAAGTATAATGCTAGATTTTCTAAGGAAAGGTTCTGGTAAAAGGTTTGCATTTAGGCTATTTACAGTAAAATGTCAATGCAACTTCAAGATGTTTAATGACTTGTTTGATATCCTTACAAACCATATTCCAATGCACAACTTTAATCGCATTTTACAACTTTTAGACCCTTCAAATAAGGGTTACAAAAGGCAAGGCAAGGCAAGTTTATTTATATAGCACCTTTCAACACAAGGCAATTCAAAGTGCTTTACAAAAATGGAAGACATTAAGAAAATGGCATTTAAAATCAGTCATTAAAAAGAAAAGATAATAAAATAAACATTAAAAGAAAAAATACATGGATAAAAGTTACAGTGCAGTTTAAGATGTGAATAGTTCAATTAAAAGCAGCGGCAAAAAGAAAAGTCTTCAGCCTGGATTTAAAAGTAGTAAGAGTTGCAGCGGACCTGCAGGTTTCTGGGAGTTTGTTCCAGATATTTGGAGCATAATAACTGAATGCTGCTTCTCCATGTTTAGTTCTGACTCTGGGGACAGAAAGCTGACCAGTCCCTGAAGACCTGAGAGTTCTGGATGGTTCATAATTTAGCAGGAGGTCAGACATGTATTTTGGGCCTAAACCATTCAAAGCTTTATAAACCAGCAACAATATTTTGAAATCTATTCTTTGACACACAGGAAGCCAGTGTAAAGACTTCAGAACAGGAGTGATGTGATCCACTTTCTTAGTGTTAGTGAGGACTCGAGCAGCGGCGTTCTGAATTAGCTGCAGCTTTCTCATAGATTTTTTAGTGAGGCCTGTAAAGACACCATTGCAGTAGTCGAGTCTACTGAAGATAAAAGCATGGACAAAAGATGATCTGCTGATTTACAGACGTCCATTTTCCAATGTAAGTCAATGGGGGAAAAGTATTTTTGGACCCAATGACATCATGGACTAGAACCTAAGTGTAGTACTGCCGTTTGGCCACTAATAAAATGTCCTTATAAATCCAGCACTCTTTCTGGGAGCTTGCTTAACTCGTGTTTTTGGCCACAAACCTTTATAGTTACAAACATATTATTTGGCCCTTCTTAACCGCATTGTTTGATATCCTTCCAAACCAAATTCCAATGCTATGAATCATGGGAATTTTGGGAAAGTTCTGGCAGAGGATGTGGTGGTTAATAGTTTACAGATCCTGGATTAGATCCCACTGCTTCTGTCTTTTTGTTCTTCTTCCTTCCTCTGCAGGAACCCAAACTTTATGGGCACCTACTTTATGGTATACAGGATATTCAGACAGAAGTGTAGATAAACAGCACAACACACACACACACACACACACACACACACACACACACACACACACACACACACACACACACACACACACACACACACACACATGTTTTTGTTCCAGCTGAGTCAGAGCCTTTTGTTCCCTTCACGTTGGGAGTCATGAAAACAAGGTGGAGGTAAGACGGGAGGCACCGGCGGCTTCCTCTGGTTTTAGACGGGGGGGGGGAATCTGCAGAACAATGCACCGACATCTTTTGAAAGTCCCTGTGGTGTGCCACATATTTACAGCATGTCATGAATGCATCACGCACATTTCTTCTTAAGAGGCCACCTCATGCTCTTTATACTTCTGATTAAATTACACAAGACCGAATCTCAACAAAAAAATCTGCAACATAAGCAAAACAGTTGGTTCTAAATGCTCTTTATCCTATTGACTATTATGATAATTAATTGAATGAACAATTATCCAACATGTTGTCCGACTTTTGCATCCATGTGCACAGACAAAAAGACTGGATAAAGCGCTTTATAACCCATTCACCAGCCTGTGCCTGTGACCGTTAAAATGTCTGTCAATGAACAGCAACAGGTTGCTCTTTAACAGTATACATAATAACTTATAATTAAATATGTTTAAGGGCTGGATGATACAATACATTACAGCTTTATTTATAAAGCACTTTAAAACCTCCAGACCAAAGTGCTGTACAAACAAATAAACAAACACAAATCACACAGCTCAGCTCACACACCATAAAACAAGTACAAGAAAAAACAATAGACAATTGAAAAGTAATAAAAGCAACAATCTACAAGATGTCAAAACGCTAAGGAGAAGAGGTGGCTTTAAGAAGCGGTTAAGGGCTGTAACTTCTAACATTTTGAAGTGGCATACAATTATTATGCTATTTGAAGAATTACACTCCAGTGGTGGCTGCGTAGGATTGTTTCAACACTACCAAAAAAAATACAAAGTCTTGGCAAGTCAAGTTATATAAATAGTTATCACCGCAATAAACCGTAATTAATTTCATATTCTGTTCTTGTACATATCATATTCTATTTACATGTATATAGACTTTTTGCATTACTTTGTATTTTAGTATTTTATTATATATGTTGCATTGTTGGAGGAGGTCAGAAGAATTTCATTGCCATTTCGACACTGTAGCTGCTGAGCATATGACAATACAACCTTTGAATCTTGAAGTCCAAAAGAAAGAGATGGAGTTAATAATATCTAAATTCACATCCCCAATCACTCAAGCTTTCTACGTCAAACTGCTGTCTGTCCTCCGTCCTCTGGGACATCAGCGTGTCTCAGGACGATCTGTCCAACAAGCCGATCCAAGGACAGTTTGTTTGTTTGTTTTCCGATCCCAGGACACTCAGCTGCTCTGAAACCTCCCAGTAAACAAACATCCAGTTTCCCATGTCGGAAGAGACCACTTTCTGAATCAAACCAAGGAGACTGTATTCTTAGTCTGTGATTGAATCTGAGTGACTTGAAGGTCAGTGGCGATAGTCAGTCTTTACTTGATTTATTTCTATTAACAAATATAAAATTGGACGATATTACATTAGGACCATCGGACAGAGAGGAAGATATTCTCAATCCCCAGAGGAGGTGAAACGCTTGTCAAGATATAACGGATTGATTAGAGTTTAGGGAGCAGGAATCTGTTCCCTAAACTCTAATCAATCCGTTACATTCTGAGAAGCTTTTCTTTCTGTTTCCTAATAAATGTTTCTGCAGGGCTTTTGTAGATACAATTAAAGAACCTAACTCTAACCCAGATTAAACTCATGCATGATGTATACACTATTTAAAAAGTCCTGTTTTAGTCATGATTTTAAAAGTAATTTTATATCCTGATTAAAACACTGATGATTTGAGCTGATTTGTTCCACATAGAAAACTAATATTGTTAGTTTAAATGAACACTACCAGATCAGAGACAGGTGTATTTCAGTGTCAGATGAGATAATACAAGATTTACAGTGATCTGTACAAGTGACGTGAAAGTGCCTGACAGGAAGGGAAGAGAGGAAGATGTCAGAAATGAGGAGCTTCACATTGAAATATTCAGATTCTCACAGGACAAATGACCAGTGGCGACTGGTCATTAGGGGCAGGTGGGGCACAGCCCCACCTAGTGTCAGCAGAAAGTATTACAAATAATGATTACAAAAATGCAAAAAAAAAAAATAAAAAAATATATAAAATATATTTTAAGATCATGTTTAATCATCTGATTCGTCTGTACATTGCTGTTTTAGTCTGTGTTCTTCTAATTAGTGTGTCTACAGTCACAGTGTGTGCCTATTGAGCTGTTTAGAGCCATGTGGGACAAAACCTGATTATGCCCCTTCCTCTCGCTGTGAAGTCAACGGTGACTGTAAAAACTACACTGCGCATGCTCAGAGTATTTTGTAATGAAATGTGTGTGGCAAAAAAATAATGACCAGAGGGGCACGGAGCTACCATCCCCACCATACGTCATCTCAAATCATTCAGAGCTGATTGGCTGTAAGTACGTGTGCCGCGAAAAGTGTGGTGTGTGAAGAGGAGACGAGAGAGCTGCAGTGACGCGTCCTAAAACCAGGAAGTAAGCTGCGCATGGCTTCCCTCGACAAAAAAGCAATGAGATTTCTCCAGAGGATTTTAGAAAATAGCTGGAAATAAGATCTGTGGGAAACGTACCTGTTAGATAAATGCACGTTTTGATCAGCCGGATAATATCCACATGTCTACCCTACTTTTATAATTTTTTTATCATAAATCTATGGATTAGATTTATGATAGACTTTTGAAACTACAAGAACATAAGGAGGACTTTTACAAAAAAGTTATAGACATTTTTGTCCAGAAGGATAGGCAAATGGACTTCATCTTCAAGTCAAGGTAAGACCGCAATTTGATTGAAAATGGGATCTTACTAAGAGAGAACAATTCAATATTTAAATGATAAAATTACATTTTTTGGGTATCCTTTTGTTGAACTGTCTGTTTAAAATTAATCGAAGCATCAGACAAAAAAAGCTTTTGAAAATAATATTATATTTTGGTTTAGGTCAAAATATAATATTTGTAAACCTGAAGAGTCAGTGCCAGTGCCTCACCAGCCATGAACCTCACTGCACGTCACTGCAGAAGCTTATATATAGACATCTACGTTTTTTGTGCCCCACCACTTTTGTACATATAAAAACGCCACTGCAAATGACTACTAGATCTGATCCCATGTATCATACACATGTAGCCTCTCCTGTAAGGACCACCTGGTTAATGGCTAAACACCAATTGATTCATTGAATAATATCAAATCCACTCGACTGACACAGAAAACAAGTCAAAATGTTCTGGGAATTCCTGCTCCCCAGAGGATGAATTCAATTGTATTTATTTTAAGTATCCTTTTCCAATTGGACACTTATAAAGGAAGAACTGTTTCCCAATAAATGTTTCTGCAGAGCTTTTGTAGATTAAAAATAAAGAACCCAACTCTAACCCAGGCCACTGCAAACTCATACACTATTTATATTTAGCATCTTAGAAATCAAAAAGTAATATGTCGTAAAATTGTCAAGAGTTTAGTAGCGTGTTTTCTGCAGGGCTTCTCTTTTGTA